CCCCCCCCGGCTAGGCGTGACGGGCGCGCGAAGCGCGCCCAGAACGGCTAGTACCTTATATATGTATAGGTCCTTTCTTCTATTTTTTTAATTTTTTCTTTACGAAATTATTACTTCATTTTGAAGACATTTATACTTTTAAAACGTGGCAAATATTTGTAAAACCTTTTCCAAGCGACATTAATCTCAATGAGCCGCAGTTGTGCCGACAGAAACTGCAAAAATGAATGAAAGAGGGAAAAAAACCAAGAAGCACGCAATCTTTAGTTTTAACACATTTGTACATCGATCTTTTAGAGTCAAATACATCAAATTTTGAGCGTTTGTTTGCGCGTACACCCCGCTGCAGTACAATAAAAGCACAAAATGTTAAAGTAAAAATTAAAGTTCTTTGGATATCATTAAATTTGACACGGAACCACCATTATTTAAAAAGCACACATTATATAATTATTCTCCTTTGATAAATTGATACATATTTTTTCCCATCAATTTAAATGAGAATAATCAATGCAGAGTGTGCAAACATTTCAAAATCATAAGTTAAAGAACGCTGACTATGCGAGTATAAATGGTATTAAAGCCTAACAGAGCAGAGCGGCGTGCTGCCAGCGCGAGAGGCTCACTTGCGCCTACAAACCTAAGTGGATACTTCACGCATTGCACCATGCTTGAAGTATCCACTTAGGTTTGTAGGCGCCAATGCGCGCGTTTCGCGCTGGCCGCCCGCCCGCCGTGCGGCGCGGCGGCGCCTGAAGCAACTATTTCACAACAGAGGTGTTGCATAGTATTATACGAAATTAAACGTATTAAGAATTACAGGCATCCTTTAAAAGTACAGATCTTTCCTCGCGAAATAAATCAAGATACTTATCGTACACAGGAAAAATCTAAGAGCCTTTAGCTGCGGCAAATATAGAGGCTCATCCGGTTCAGGTATAACAAGGTGGGAATTTCTTGAAGGATAATTAAGTCTTGTTGAACCAAAGAGGTGTAGAGAGTTTTAGTGAATTTTGTCTTATGGAATTGACGCTCCCCCATTTTTACCAAAACTCTCAACTATATATTACTCTCCGTTGGACCAAACAGACAAAACAAAAAAAAACAAACAAGCAAACCTTCATTCTTCCAAGAATTATACATTTTCATCCAAAAACGTCGTGAGCAATGGTCGTTTGTATTTACATGTGGGTCATTTAACTTTGCGTCTCAACTGGCACGTGGACCAAAACTCCCGTGCCAAAAAAACGCGTGGACGTAAATTACTGGAAAAAACAGGTGCGCGGACAAAAAATCGTTGATGAAATGTCCTATAATCCATCAGGGAAACGATTTTTTACTCCGGGTGAAAGTTTAGCCGTGACAATGAAATACCTCTTTGTCGCAGTGAAATGTTGTCAGTTGTAACGACAATTAAATTCATAGCACGGCAAGGGATTTACAGTCAGTTGTCCTAACCAGAATTTAACTTCAGCAGTTTATTCGCGTTCTCAACACAACGAGTAATATACACAGCGCAGCAAGAAAGCTTCTAAAGAAACGGTTTTCTTTCTTGCAAAGAATGCGGAAATTATTCTTCTTTATATGCACTAATTTTTTTTATTAATTTTGGAGAAGAACGTGCCATGTCTTCTCTCGATTCGCAAAAGTCCCCCAGACAAAGCACCCCACAGAACGATTAATCTTGTTATTACTGACCTTTCACCACCTCTGTCAGCAATCTTCGCACCCCTAAATTGGGAACTTTAAAATCTTGCGTGGC